TACAGGGTGTATAAAAAAAAACTGAACAGATTTGAAATTGCTCTCAATTTCGCAAAACAGCCATTAGTATCTAGTTTTTGATGTATATAGCTTCTTTGGGTACTTATAATGTAGAATAATGAAAAAAAATTCTCGAACTCAAATTTTGTGAACCAGGGGGTGTGTCTTTTCCAACAAACTAAAAATGGCTTGCGCACGAAATTTAAAAGCTTTAATCATATTTTAGTATAGTATAATAGTATATATTTTGAGTTAATAGATGGAAAATTTGTTGGGTTTTTAATTACTGTACATAATTTCAGACAATTTGCTTTAGTTTAAGCCTTAAACTATTAATTTATTTCTAAAAAATCAACCTTTCGCATGCTTAATGCCATTACCTAATTTATTGCTGACATATGCAAATTAGGCAAAGCATTAATTTAAAAGCATTTAAATAGCTCATTTTTTAGGAAAAAATGTAAGTTTGCGTGAATAGTTAAAGGGCTTAAACCAAAGCAAATTGTCTGACATTTTGTACACTGTAATTAAAAACCCAACAAATTTTCCATCTTTAAATATGATTAAAGCTTTTAAATTTGAGTTCGAGAATTTTTTTTCATTTTTCTACATTATAAGTACCCAAAGAAGCTATATACATCAAAAACTGGATACTAATAGCTGTTTTGCGAAATTGAGAGCAAATTCATATCTGTTCAGTTTTTTTTCTACACCTTGTATAGTAGAGACTAGAGAGTGAAATACTGAAAAATACACAGTGAGATATTTTCCATATCTTTTTCATATCAAGATATCGATAACGTGACTTTTTCCAATTTGCTTTTGAGCGTGAAGAGTTTCAGAATTTTTTGCTTGGGACTATATAATAAACAGAACATTACTGCGCTCGTTGGTAAAATATTGTTTTCACCACTCGAAGATAAAAGTCATATCTTCGCGCCGCTGTGTAATCCCATATCTTCGCGCCGCCGTGTAATATTTAACAAATATAAAACATTTTCCGTGTTGATATACAGTTATATCAACACGAGTGGAATTGGGAAAACGAGAAATTGTATGGAAACACGACGCCCGAAGGGCGGAGTGTTTTCATACAATTTCGAGTTTTACCAACTTCCACGAGTGTTGATATAACTATATATCAATACGGAAAAAAGTTTTGTATTTGTTTTATAATATAGCAATGTCAAAAGCCCGAAGGATAAGAAAAATTTCCGTGTTTACAAGCGGCGGAAAATTTCCCGTGTTGACATTGAGTTATATCAACACGGCTCTTAGCCAATCAGCGTTCAGAATTTACAAATGCTATATTATAAACTCTATTATTATATAAACATAAGTGTTATATACAGTATAGAGTTGTTGGCCACTGAGAAAAATCGTATTTAAACACACGTAAAAAATACGATATTTTTACTTGTGAAAATATCATTTGTTGTAAAACGTATTGCCACGGACGTTTTATTGTTTTTCACTGCATTTTGTTTATATAATAAACAGAAAAATACATGGGTGCGTGGAAACACCAGATTTATTTCTCGTGTTGAACATGATATCTCACGAGTGAGCGCAGCGAACGAGTGAGATATCATGTTCAACACTCGAAATAAATTTGGTATTTTTTTGCGCACCCATGTATTATTATTCTCTCTCTGTATCATCGTCTCGTGTTGGCCTTTCCGTTTTTGCCACGGCATACTTCTGCATGCATGACACATTTGGACTAGAAGGCAACATGATTATAATAGAGACCTTAAGATTGACGTTTACGGCAAACGTCAAACCGCTAGTGAGGTTTTTGATTTAACAACTCTTTTATAATAGCTTTTACACCAGTTTTGAAATATGTTAAACTTATTAAACTTGTGCTCTTTAGCAATGATTTAAGAAAGCAAATTAACCACTAGTCATGCCATTCACCAAAGCAGTAAATTAAGATTTGGCGTTTGAAGTTGACGTTTGGCGTATAAATTTCATGCTTGAACTGCTACGAGGGCTTGTAGTCGTTAAAGCATGAAATTTATACGCCAAACGTCAACTTCAAA